GGTGACTCCACTTCTGATTTCCTTGACCTGCAGCAGCTTTGTGCTGTCTCACCATCTTAACCCGTTGCATTCAATTTCAATCACTTAACTTCACTGAAGTTATTCAAATCCAGTATGCAAAAACCCTTCTCTGCAATTGCAAGCGAAATAGAATAGTTTCTATTTTTACAGTTAGTAAGATTCTGACCAAACTACTATCCCACTCTTCACAGGTCTGTTTTTAAGCAGAGGGTTTTAAAGTATGGGTCTAATTATAAAGAGATTTACAAACAGAAGTACAGCTGGTGTCTGGGGAATTGTGGCTGCCTAAGAATGCCAGGTTTGGTTCCTCAAATTTCAAACAGCAGCAGGATCTCCTATTGGTAAGTTTAATGGTCATTATGAGGGAGGTTTTAAAAAATCATTTAAGGGGCCCAGTGCAATGGCCTAGCAGCTAAAGTCCTTGCCTTGAATGAACCAGGATCCCATATGGGTGCCAGTTCTAATCCTGGCAGCCCTGCTTCCCATCCAGTTCCCTGCTTGTGGCCTGGAAAGGCAGTTGAGGACAGCCCAAAGCCTTGGGATCCTGCATTCGTGTGGGAAACCTGGAGGAATCTCCTGGCTCCTGGCTTCGGATCAGCTCAGCATCCGGCCATTGCAGTCACTTGGGGAGTGAATAATCAGATGGAAGATCTTCCTGTCTGTATATCTGACTTTGCAATAAAACAAATAAATCTTTTAAAAAATCATTTAAAAATGCAAACTCGCTGAACTTGCTTAAAGTAAATTGCCAAAGAGGCTCAAAAATTGAAGGAAGGCTAAATTTAACAAAGATGATGAATTTAAAAAAATCTACTGGAACAAAGTATTGATGTAGAACTAAAATTGTATTAGGTCTCAATTCAAGCAGACATTTATGATTTAAAGCTAAGTCTACTTCCATATTTGCTTAGAGAAAGGTGAGAGAGATTTCCCAATACATCACATGTATGACTGCCACAGGGGTGAAAAATTCCTCTAAAAATCGAAATATGCATTCCTGTGTGCTATAATTATAAGCATGGAAATTAAACATTGACATTTTCCAGTAACAATGATTCCATTCCATGTTAGCTTAAGGGACACATGACTATCTCTATGTAAGCTTTAAGGATGATATTTTACTCAGAGGACCATTACGGTCATCTGTTCTGCTTATAGCTAACCTGTCAACTCTGCAACTGGAAGCAACTTGAGGGTAACTTGGTATCGATTGCTAGTGGAATTCTCCAAACCTAGCAAACAGCCTAGCATCCAGAAGGCATCTGAAGGTATTTATAAATAAACAAATAGATGCTCTCATGAAGATACAACAGCTCTCAGCTTTCTCAGAGGGAAAAACATTTCCATTAGCAATCGAGAGTCCTGCATAGCACATCTGGCTGTCACCATTACTAAGCTGCTGCTCACAAGTGCTCAGAATCTCTTCAGCTCTTCAGAATTTTTGACACTTGAATACATAAGCACATTTTTAGAATCTGACCATGAAAATAAAGTACTATCAAAATTAAAGTACTGTCAAAGTAGGGGCCAAGTGGATGCCCACTCTAGGATTTCTCCATGAGATGACCATAAACTAGGGTTCCCCACAAGCTAAGACAGCTAAAGCTATCTCAAGTTCAGTTCTACAATAACTCAAGGTCCTAAACACCTCTGGGTATTTCAGATATTCTCTCTGCTTAAAGGGGAGTAAAGTAACCATGAGGATGACGTTCCAACATAAACTTAACAAGATAAATGCCTCACTTAAAGTTGGCTCATCTCAATATATTTCCATCCCTTCCACATCCTATGTGTCTCCTATTCAATACAAGATAATAGTATTGTATAGCCCACTATGTACACTGATACGAGAATGACATTGTGATGATGATGAAAATTAATGTGGAACAAATTTCCCTGGGAACCTGGATCAAATTAATTATTATGAGAAAGGGACTAGTAATCTATCAATAGTGTGATGAGGTATTATCACTAACTTAACTATTGACATTACCACCTTGAGCTCCAGGCACCATGGGTTTTTACAGGAACACTGACCCAAATATAACTTTACTTACTTTCTTTCAGCATTTCTATTTCTATCTAAATATGAAGCAGCAGTGGATTCAGGGTTTTTGATCCACTCTGGTTATCATTCTTGAAGTTCTGGTGACTTCTCAGAGTCTACTGGATGTACTAACTGTGGGTGGGGGAAAGACCAAGCACTTGATTTATCCATCCAAGTCAGAACAAGAAATCGCATCCAAGTCAGAACAAGATGAAGCAGATACCCAGGTTCTAAAAAAAAATCTATACATACTTTTAATATGCATGAAATAAACAGACCATAACTGCGAAGGAACTAGTTTGTTCTAACATATTCAGGTTCCTAATGTGTTTGCATGGTTGTTGACACATGAACTTACAACTTATAACAGATTACAAGTTCTAGTTGCTAAATTCAGTATAAGCAGTTAAAGTTCCCAAAAGGAAATAATCC